TCCCTCACTCAGTTCTTGTAAACTGGAATAATGTTGGCTAGCTTCCAGTCAGTGAGGACCTCCTCAGACTCCCAAGACTTTTTTGTAGATGATTAAAAGGGGTCCTGCTCTAACATCTACTAGCTCCTTCAGTATTCTGGGATGAATCCCATCAGGCCCCATGAGCTTGTGAACATTCAACTGACAGAGCTGGTTGCTTACAATTTCAGTGTCTACAAATGGAAAGGTACTGTTCCCACAGTCATGGTCCTCCAACTCATGGGACTGGGCAGCCCAAGGTCTATCAGTATTATTAAAGACTGAGGCAAAAACCACATTGAATGCGTCTGCTTTTTCTTCACCCCTATTAGTCAGATGACCATTGGTCAACAAGTATCAGTCCAATGTTTTTCTCATTATACTGAAAATTTTAAACTAAACCATTTCATGATCACTGTGGCCAAGACAGCCATCTACTATCACATCCCCCACAAGACTTCTCTATTCAGAAAGAACAAGTCTAGGATGGCATCTGTCCTAGTTGGCTCACTGAGTACTTGGGACTGGAAGTTATCTCCTACAAACTTCAAGACTTTCCAAGACCTGCTCATCACAGCAGTATGAGATTCCTAGTTGATGTCTGGGACATGTCCCATGAGAATAAGGACTACCAATCCAGAAGTTTCTCCTAATTGCCTGTAGAATAACTCATAAATGCTTACATCCTGGCTAGGTGATCGGTAGTAGACACCCCTACAACATCTCCTTTGTTTTCCATCCCCCTAATCCTCACTCAGAGGCTCTTAACCACATCGTCCCTAACTGTAAGGGCTGCAGTCAAACCTCTTCCTTACATACAGTGCAACTCCTCCATGTTACCTGCTCTGCCTACCGTTCCTGAACAGCCCAGAACACTGGGCTGGAGTCCCAGCACGCCAATCATGGGACTCATTCCACCAAGTTAGACTGCTAACAGTGGTATCATAGCTCTGGGAACAGACCAACACTTCTAGTTCATCCTGTTTGTTTCTCATACTGTGTATGTTGGTATACAGACATTTCAGACATGCTCCTGAGCCCTCTGTGCTCCCAGGAGCAGTGTGAGTATTTCCACTAGCATTGCCACCCTCAGGTAATGCCATGCCAACCCTTGGCTTACCTACTGCAATCCTGCTGGTAATCCCCTTGCCCCATCAATTCTAGTTTAAAACTTTCTTGGTGGGCATAAGCTAGCAGGGCTAAGAGATGCATTTTCCCTATCAGGACAGGTGGATCTGATCAGGCCCCAGCATACCTTGTCTCTCAAAGGCTCTTCTGTGGTTTAAAAACCCAAAGTTTTGGCACAGGCACCAGTCCTGGAGCCAGGTATTGATATCCTGGGCTCGCCTGTTTCTTCTGAAGTCTCCCCCCTTTACTGGGAGGATTGAGGAAAACACTACCTGTGCTCACGAATATTTTTTTTTTCTTCTGAAAGATTGCAAGGTTATTAACTTAAATTCCAAAAATCAAGAAGTATGTGTTTTGTTCTGAATTCAGTCTTATTTCTTCACAGCTGGCTATAAAACCTCAGCAAATGAGTTTTGGTATGATCCTTGTGGGGAAACCAAGTAGATCTGCTCTTTAGTTGCAGTGGTGGTTTATACGCTGGACCTAAGATATGGAGCCACCTGTACCAAAGATGATCATCTTTCATATGCCCATTCTAAACTAAATGGGAAAAAATAGAGTATAATTCTTTTTTTATTAAATAGAGTAAATCATATCAGGAATTTGTGGGTTTGTATTTTTTGAATGTGAAACACAGTTTGGTCTTCTAAGAGGAAGCAGAACCGGAATCCCGGTAGCCGCTCTGCTTACATGGTCTTGTCTGCTTGTGTTATAGTATTGGTGTACAGATAGTATGGAGGAATCCAGTTGCAAGGCAAGTTGAGTTGTGTGTTTCCTATCAGCCGTTACCCTGCAGTTCCCTTTTGCAATAGGACAAATAGTATTTCTACATCATTTGACAGTGGCCGCCTGTGACCCATGATTCAATGGGCATACTTCACCTGCAGTATAAGTGCACAGTATTGATTGCTATTAGTGTGGAAACTTAGATGTATTCTGGAAGAATACATGATGTGTTCTCCTGTAATGCTGTGCTGTCGGGGAATGCTGATGTTATGCAAACTGGTCTCTGAATTACTGTTGCTGAAAAGAGTAGGTCTGCAATATCCATCCGATACCCATCAGTGAACAAGCATAATACTATATAGAGTGTGAGAAAATGTGTGTACCTGTTTCTTAAATGAGTTCTCTTTCTTTGCTTTAGAAAGCAGTAGACATGCTTTTGGATAATGAAGATAAAATTTCCGTGAGTATAACAAGTTCGTGGCATGGTAGCCCAATGCTTGCTTGTATTACGCATCTTTTTAGTCCTGCAAATGTGATGAACATCACAGGTTTGCTAATCTGTTGGGTTTATTTGTTTTCTTTCAGATTGACAGAGTCGTTGAAGAATTAGAAAACAGGCCTGAGCTACAGCATGTGGTAAATATTTCTATATTCTATTGTTTTCAAATTGAGCTGAATAAACTCTTTGCTGGACACATCTTTTACAGATATGGTTATCCTGTCAAAGTGCACGTGACACTAAAATGTCATAAATTATCAGGAGCCAAAGTAGCTACTTTTGCTAATCAATTTTTTTTAACATGGCCATAGCATTTTTACAATAGTAAAATAATTTTAAATGTGTACCTGTGAGAACATGATAACATACTGCTTACTTGTTAACATACCGTGAGATACTCCTTATGGCATTGCAGACACTTGTCTTCTCTGGTCAATTACTTCTTGCTTGTATCCCTCCTCTTTC